GATAGATAGATAGATAGATAGATAGATAGATAGATAGATGATAGATAGATAGATGATAGATAGATATAGATGATAGATAGATAGATATAGATATATCATAGATAGATAGAAAGATAGATGACAGATAGATAGATAGATGATAGATAGATATAGATGATAGATAGATAGATATAGATATATCATAGATAGATAGATAGATGATAGATAGATAGATAGATAGATAGATAGATAGATAGATAGATAGATAGATAGATAGATAGATAGATAATTTTAAAAATATGCAGGAATGGAATATATCTAAACTCGGTCCAGAGTCTTTGAGAGTTGGGAGGTGTTATGGTTGTTAGTATAGACATAATCTACAATTAGATTCACAAAGAAGAGTGAAATAATTATTTGTGTTACACGCAGGGACTCGTAAACCATTGAATGCATAATCTCTTCCACTGATGTCACTCTTAATTATACAGGGCGCTGAAGTCTTTCCGTGTTAAATCAACAAACCTCGACAATTTCAAGTTCAAGTTCTCCATGAAATTGAACTTGAAAGCAGATCTAGAAGAAATCGAGTTTTAACGCATCACCTCTCTACTAAAAAATTTTTTTTTTATCTGGATCCGCATAGGTGACACACGAAGGATCCTAGGGCTTTGGGCTCCAGCTTAGAGTAAAGATTCATGAAATTCTTTGGCCCTTCTTGAAATGCTAACTCCCTGATTTTTCACAAAGGGGAAACACAGTCATCATTCTTTGTGATTTCTTTCTGCAAAACCTTAACGTGGCTTCTGCTCTTTTTCCCCCCCTCCTCAGACAAGAGAGAAGAGAATGTGCAGCAAGTGGAATCGGAGAGAATGTATGTTGTCGTGAAAGGAGGCTGTGAAAAGGCAGCCCTTCTGTTTTCACTATGCTTTAGGGCCTTGCAATGGCAGAAGACGGGCCTCCGGACCAAAAAAGACCCAGGAGAAAATTATCCCTCTCTAAGAGCAATAAAAAAACTGCAAGGAAAAATGGCAGAGGGGGTCTGTCTGCAGCCCCAGAGTCTTCTTCCATTCTTTCCCTTTTTAACAATGCTCCCCCCGCCAGAATTGCTTGTCCCTTGTGTGGCCAGACGATACCAAGGTACAGAATCAACCAGCACATTGACGAAGAATGCAAAAATAATCACAATGAGGATTGCAACGTGGATGGAACTGGCTTAACGTCCGCTGTCTCCCCCGGGCCGTCAGCTGAACCTGCGCCTGTCAGTTCGAGTCCATATTTTGCCGCTAAGCTCTCAACACCAGAGAAAAATCGCAGCCTTTCCAGAGGAGACAATGGGGAAACAGAAAGGGAGTCGGGAGAACAGACGAGTCCTTATTTCAAGAAAGTTGGAAAACCAGCCCTGCTTGATGACCAACTTAGAGATGGTGTCATTAAAAATATCTCCGTGAGAACCCTGTCCACCAGACTGTCCAGGAGGTGGCGTGGTCGCAGCAGGGATGGGTTGACTCAAGGTGGCCAACCTTCTCCAGCTCAAGATGGCATCCCAGAGCAGAAACCTAACCAGAAACCTTGGGGTGAAGATTCCCTGAAGGAGGACCAGTTGTCCCCATCAAGATTCGGATGGGCAACTGGAGCTCTGAATAAGGAGGGTGATATCTCAAGTTTGGGGCAAGAAGATGACCCAAGATCTCTCTCTGATGGCCTGAATGATTCTGCTCTGGTATCACTCACGTGCAGAGAACTTGGGCTGCCAAGAAAAGGCCACCAGCAGGTAAGTAACCCCCAGAAGGATCCAGATGTTCAACAGTTGGGAATTTCTTCAGTAGTTGAGGAGGAAGGGATGACAGCCAGTTATCCTAAAGGAGAGCCACCCACGTTGGAATCCCAGAGTTTCTCCTCCGACAAGCCAGATCCAGCGATAGAAGAAGACGATCACCATGAGATGCAAAAGTTCTCCAGTTCCACAGGAGATGGGATGGAACGGCTTTCTATGGACGATGAGGCAGGGGCCGGAACTGAAGTGGAGGATGAATTATGTTTGGCAACTTTAGAAAAAGCCAGTTTTCCACATTCAAGTGAGGAGGTTGGGCCTGGCCTGGATTCAGCTGGCCACCCCTATTACCTCCGAAATTTCCTCATGGTCCTGGAGGCCGTGCTGGAGAACGAAGATGACCGGAGACTCTTCAGTGAGGACGATTCGGAGGCCATTTCTCGTTTCTACAAGCTTTCAGGTAGCTTTCATTTGTAATTGGCTTAATGACCATGGGGTTCGCTTAATGACCGCAGTGACAGGCTTCACAAACATAGTAAAACGGGTGTAAAATCCAATTTGGTCATGTGGTGACTTGATTTGCGAGCAGAATTATTTATGACAAGAATTCTGGTTTCAGTTGCGATTAGAAGCCAAGGACTGACTTACCTGTAAGTGTATTTAAGACTCTGCATTTAGCTGGTAATCCATTCCATTTGTCCAGAAAGTCTCACTTTTTATCATTAAAAATGGCTTGACACATCAGAGAAGTTGGGTCAGCCGAACTTCCTGAGCGAGATTATTTGGCAAAAGGTCCAGTTGTTTCCCCAGAATTTCCATGCAATGCCACTTTTCCAAACATCTTTGTAAAATATATATATATATATATATATATATATATTTTCTTCTCTCGTTACAATTCCGTTGCAGCCGGTGGACAGAAACTCTACGTCCGGCTTTTCCAGCGTAAATTGGCCTGGATAAAGACGAATAAAATAGAATATGAAGAGATCAGCTCAGAACTNTGAGCCGGTGAGATTAGAACCGCTGAACTGCAGATAGCAGTCAGCTGAAGTGGCCTGCAGTACTGCACTCTAACCACTGCGCCACCTCGGCTCAACTTGACCATTGCAACTTAAAACCGTGATGGGCATGGTCCATTATAAGCCATAAGCCTAAAACTACCGGTAGCGTCAATCTTTTCTTACTTTTTTAAAACAACAACATGGAGAGCATTTTGATAACTTCTCGCCATCTGGAGGTGCGCGGTGTGGCTGGTGGCCAAGAAACACTTTCAAGATCTTCCGCCTCCTTCACATCCCCCGCAAGCTATTAATGTTGGTCTATTTTTAAGCTTTGCTCTTTCCCCGCTGCTATTTTTAACGCTTGGCGTTTCCACGTCTTCGGAAGAAGCTTCTCCAAGACTTGGTCCTTCTGTTCTTCCTGCTTTCCGCCCGACAGCAAATCCTTCTCCTTCAATCTCTCCATGATCACAAGATGTGGCATGGCCACATCCATTGCTGAGTCGGGAGGCTGGCCACGACGCTGGGGTCTTCTTGCCAACCAACTGGGCTTTGTCCTTCTGCAACCTTCTCACGAGCTTCTCTGTCCCCCTGGCTAGGAGGCCGTGGAGCAGCTGCAAGAACTCCTGGCTCAGGAAGACTTCTGCGTGGACAGCCGAGGGCAGTGGTGGGAGCGCCTAGCTCTGAACTTACACCAGCATTTGAAAGACACCAAGAAGGTAAGGTGCCTGGGGTATGTGGTCTTTGTGGTTATGGTGTGCTGGTGTACCAGGATGGGCTCTCCAACATTGTTCTTGCCAATAGCGTTCTTGTAGAACTGCCTGAGACTTCTCGGGAAGCAACAACGGAATGGAAAACTACTGGTGACCTCCTACTGCTGCACCGTAGAGCGTATTTTAACTTACTGCACCTGTGTGTGGTTTGCCAATTGCACCATGGCAGATAGGAAGCAGCTCCAGAGGGTCAATGCCATTGCCCAGAGGATCATGGGTTGCCCCCTCCTCTTTTTGGAAGAGATTTAGGGCTCCCGCTGCCTTAAGAAAGTTCAAAACATTCTTTTTTTNTGTAAGAGAATAGATGATAGTAAAAATATAAAGCACAATATAGGTAAATAATACTTGATCATAAGTAGCTAAGTACAAATAAATAAAGAAATGTACATAAAAATGGATAATGAGTAAGGAGATTATGAACGCAAGATAGAAATGTATAGAAGGGAAAACACTAACTGCAAAGAAACCGATTCGGAACTGCGGTATGATATATGATGGAACTTATTGTTCCTATTTTGTTTTTAAGTTATGTGGTTATTTTTGTTGATGTGTTTATGTGTTCTGTTGATGTGCTTATGTGTATAAAATTTTTTAAAAATAGGAAGTTTCTCCTTAATTTATATCCCCAACGTTTGTCCATTTTTTCCCTCTTCGCAGAGGCCGAATTGCAAAACCTATCAGAAGTCCTTGACTTACTTTCCGCCCCCGAGTTGAAAGCTTTAGCGAAAGAATTTCACTTGAAAAACCCAACTTCTCCCAAGCAGCAACTTCTGGAAGATTTCCTCCGGTTGGCAAGACAGCGCTCCATCTTTGGCACGTGCCAAGCTGGGATTGGCAGTGTCATTCTAAAGAGGTATTTTATTTTATTTATAAAATTTATAAAATTTATTTGCCGCCCAATCCCGAAGGACTCCCGAAGGTAAAACGTTCAGGGCCCTGGTAAAAGAAACGGGGCAGAGAGCAGAAGTCTGCACCAGAACAGAAAGAAACAGAGCAGAATCACAGAGTTGGAGAAGAGGTCTTGGAGGTCTTCTAGTCCAACCCCCTGCTCAGGCGAGAAGCCCTAGGCCACTTCAGACAAATGATTGTCCGATCTCTTCTTAAAAACCTCCCGTGTTGGAGAATTCACGACTTCCGGAGGCAAGCGGTTCCACTGGTTAATTTTGCTAACTGCCAGGAAATTTCTCCTGGGTTCTCGGTTGCTTCTCTCCTTGATTAGTTTCCATCCAGATCAGGAATAATCTGATTCCACCAATGGAGCAGGGAGTTAATTTTGTGTTCATTAAGGACAGCAGAATCAGCCGTCTTTGATATGTCTTTAGGATTCCCCCACCCCAGGCTTTTAATTCTGTTGATAGGGTGTTTTTTTTTAATGGAATTGTTGAGCCTTCTGTGAATGATGCCCACATTTCCCTCCGGGGAAAGCACATCGAAAGAGCAACTGTCTGCTGAGAAAAAACTAGGTTAAGGATGGAGGAAAAACTCCGTCCTTAACCTATTTTTTTCTCAGCAGACAGTTGCTTTCCAGTCCTGCTTCCTTTGATAATGCAAACTTTGAATGCCGTGCTAATTCTGAGAGGCCAGGATTTATCTGGATGGATGCGTGGATAATTGGCAGATCTTGACGCTTCGGCTGCGAGGCTGTCTTGGGGGAAAAAGAAGGCCAAATGACAGCGCTAAGATGAAAGGAGGGATTTTAAGGAGGGATTTGGGGGATTTAAAAAGAGGAAGGATGCTTGGAGGGAATGGGAAAGAAGAAATGTCATTCTAGAGCAGGGGTCTCCAACCTTGGCAACTTGAAGCCTGGGGGACAGAATTCCTCAGCCAGTAAAATGGGAATCTGGGTCCTCACTTTACCCGCCTCAGAAGGATGGAAGGCTGAGTCAGTCAGGATCAAACTGTTGGCAGTTGGCAGAGTTAGCCTGCAATGTTGCATTCTAACCACCGGGAGGGAAGGAAGGAAAGGAAAGGAAAGGAAAGGAAAGGAAAGGAAAGGAAGGACTAGAAATAGCCCTTAGACTTATATACCACTTTATGGTGCTTTTACATCCTTCTCTAAGCGGTTTACAGAGTCGGCCTTTTGCCCCCAACAATCTGGGTCCTCATTTTACCCACCTCAGAAGGATGAAAGGCTGAATCAACCTTGAGCCTGGTGAGATTTGAACTGCCAAATTGCAGTCAGCCGGCAGTCAGCAGAAGTAGCCGGCAGTACCGCACTCTGGCCACTGCGCCACCGTGGCTCATACCTACAACCGCACCAATTTAGGATAGCTATTGTGTTCCTGATTGTAGTTGTAAGTCAGGGATTGTAGTGGCACGGTTGCTACTTCTGCAGCTGGGTGGAGAGAATTCTAGCCCCGATTCCTTCTCTTCCTGGTTTCCAGGGCTAAAGTCCTTGCGGGGAAATGCATCAAGGTTTGTCGTGAGGCCCGGGCTGTTTTTTCCCGCGTGCTGCTGCTTTTCTCCCTGACGGATCCCGTGGAGGAGGAAGAAGCCGGAAGTGGCGGCCAAAGGCAACTTTCTACGGTGCTGATGGTCAACATGGGCCGGACCGTCTTCCCTACTTACACAGTCAGCAGGAAAACGCCAATATTTCAAGATCGGGATGATTTCCTTCGGTAGGAGAGAAAATTAATTCTAGGTTTGTCTATGGAGGCTCTCATTCATCCAGATCATGTTCTGTCCCAAAGGTGCTTTTTCTTTAATTTCAAAAGGAAAACTGGACTTGTTTTTTTTCCCTTGAAGACGTTTTACTTCTCATCCAAGAAACTTCTTCAGTTCTGACTGGGTTCTAGGTTTTAATCTAGGGTTCTAGGTGACTCTTGTTTCTTACACAGATTTTTCTTTTCCCACTGAGAAGTTCCGGTCAATATATATTTCATCCTCTTCCTTTTTGTGTGTGCAGCCATCCTCTAAGAAAATGATCTTTGTGATCTGAATGATGTTAGGGGGACACAAACACACACACAGACAATCCTCACAACTTTTTTTTGAAGCCCACGAGATAGCTCTTGGTTTTTGATTTTTTTTATTTATTTTCAAAACAAACATATATTGTAGAAAGTGTATCAGCTGGTTACAAAAAGCTTTTGTGCATCTCTTCCACCGTCATCAAATATAATTCATATTAATTCAAATATCTATATTTACTATATTAACATCATCATACCTCCACTTTTATTTGACTATCGTTATTTAAACATCCTTCATCCTTAAATATACCAAGATTCAATACATAATCACATGCTGGCATTTCATTTACTTATTTGTAAAATCCTCCGTTAACATTAAGTTCTCATATCCTGTCTTAGCTAAACATCCATAATATTTAATTCCAAAGATTTCTAATCCTCCATGTATATAATTTATCATTATCCTTTCTTTATTTAACTATGTCCTATATCATAACATTTCCCCCCTATTAGTTAAAACTTAACTGTATCTAGTTTTGTTTTTTTTAATTATAATTATTATTGTTATTAATAATCTTTATATATAGTCCAAAAATATTTCTAACCTTCCCTTCTCATATCCAATTATTACTTATCTTAACAACTCAACATTGTATACATTACTATCGTTATCAATTCTTATTTAACTATACTTATTACCAATGGATTTAACTAAGTTTAGCTAAACAAGAGATAGATCTTGTTTTAAGGGGCTCAGCACTGAACTTTTCTTTTAAAAAATTAAGTTTGTTGTTGGTCGTTCTTGCTTCCGATTATGTGCTCGCGAGACATTTAGTCCTTGGTTACTGACTGCCCTGTTTAGCAACCAAAATCATGATGGTGTTGAAACAGTTTATGATCAGTTCTTGCACAGAGGGCTGCCGTGATGTTCCTTGCAGTGACTTGCTCAAAATTGGGGATTTTGGCGGCTTGCACGTTGATGATAGTCCAAATCAATGGGGAAGCTGGAGGGAAGTCGTAAGTTGCAATCCTGTCATGTTCCCCTTGACCCGTGGGATTCACTTAAAATGTCCGTGGTGGAAGTGAGGTGGTAAGTGTCACGGTCATGTGCCGTCTCACTTAACAACTGCATCTTTTAGCAATGGAGTTGCAAGTCCCAATTGAGGTCACTAATCGAGGACTACCTCTTGCCATAGTGATAGGATAAGGCGGGGGAAGCGGTCATCTTCAGAACGAGTTGCAACATCTGATTTTAATTTTCCCGCAGGTACGCTGCCGCTGCGCACACCTCCAATGACATTTCCGTGGCCATGACCGGCGGGAAGTGGGAAGAGGCGCGCTGCCTGTACGAGACCGCGAAAGCATCTTGGCAGGAGCTGAAGGGACACCCTTCCCTCAGGTGTGTAGATGGAGGGGTGGGAAGATCCCCCACTGCAATGAGAATGGACGGGAGGGAAGAGATGCTGCCTAAGGAAGAATCCAACAAGAGAGGACGTAGCCCTGAGCTGCATAACGGGAAGAGAAAGAAACTTGAGAGAGGAACCTCTTCAGCCCTGTAAAAGAGACAGAAGGAGATTTGACATCCGATCGACGTGGTGGCTTAGTGGTGAAGACACCCTCCTCCCACTCGGAAGGTTGGGAGTTCAATCCTAGGTAGCGCCAGAGGTTTCTCAGGGTGCAAAGAAAAGATATTTGCTGTGAACTCCGCATGGGCATCGGGAAGGGCTTCCGGCCAGTAAATGCCTAGCTCCATTCAGTTGCCCCAACTCTACCCCGAATTAAGGAATTACAGGATCATAAAAAGGGAATTTTTAGGTCAGCCTTTTCACCTAGAAAGGCAGGAAGTGCGACCAGGTGAGCCAATTCTACTTTGTTGTAAGGCTACCTTGACAGAGGCTGATAGATTAGAAATGGAAGATGATGGAAAGAAGGAAATTTTGATCACAGACAGACAGACAGAGAGAAGGAGAAAGAGACAAAGAAAGAGGAGAGAGAATAAAGTATAAATGTATTTATAACTGCTGGGAAAATAGAAATCCATTTTCCCCCATGATTTGCCATTTCTTTAATATATATGCAGTATATACCATATTTTTCGGAGTATAAGACGCACCTTCCCCCCCCCCAAAAGAGCATGGAAATGTCGGTGCGTCTTATACACCGAATACAGCCATTTTTGGCCTCTCTAAGCCCCGCCCCTGCATCCCATTTTTGCAAAAAAACTGTCCATTTTTCGCAAAAACGGAGCTCTTTTTGCCTTCCCCCAGCCCCCAGGAGCACTCTGCAGGCTTCATCAGGGCTGGGGGAAGGCAAAAAGAGCTCCGTTTTTGCGAAAAATGGACAGT